TGTGTGTGTGTGTGTGTGTGTGTGTGTGTGTGTGTGTGTGTGTGTGTTTCTGGTCCTGAATGTAAGAAGAGGGTGTTCGATTCCCTGGACCTGGAGTTATGGATGGTTGTGAACATCCCAATGTGGGTGCAGAAACTAAACTGCGGTCCTCTGGAAAAGCAAGTGCTCTTAACTGCTGAGCCATCTCTCCAGTCCCTTGTTTTGTTTTCTTGATGCAGGGTCTCACTATGGGCCCTACCTTGGTCCTAAATTTGTAATCCTCCTGCCTCAGCCTCCCGAGTTCTAAATCCACTGGCAGAAGAGGTTGAAGAGTGTTGATAGAAACTACCTGGAGCTCACTATTGTCCGACACCAGAGCCACTGCAGCAGGCCCCAATTCACCGAGGGTGCTGATGAGAGGACACTAGGCTGTGGGAACCACTGATCCTGGGACCAGGCAAACCAGGTCAGAATTTTAGGTCTACAAACTTTGTTATTTTCCTTGCTGTTATTGCTCAGAGTGACCTCCAACTCCTGTCTCACCCTCCCAGGGAAATGCCAATTGACATTCTGAGAGGAGAACCGCTGATCTTTTCGCGTTGTTATTTGGTTTGGTTTCTGTATTTGACAGGGTCTCAATATGTAACCTTGACTACGAATTGGAAGGCAATTCGTAGACCAGACTAGCCTACAGCTCACGGAGAGCCACCTCCTCCCTCCCACACGCTGGGATCCCAAGTCTGCACCACCATGAGCCCAACCTAAGCATATTATTTGATTAAGGTAATGCTGTCCATAGTCTACAAGGACCGATACTGAAATACAGAAGGCTCAGGACCCTGTGAACAGAAACTTCCTCTTTGAAGATCTGCACAGTCACTCCCTGGATGGACTTCCCAGTCTCATTTAGCCCATCTTAAACAGTCTTGTGTTTTACATTACCTTTTTTTTTTTTTTACAACCTGCAAACTTAACTTATTTTCCTCTTAAAGATTCCTGTAGGGGCTGGAGAGATGGCTCAGGATTTGAGAGCACCTGATGCTCTTACAGAGGACCTCAGTTTGGTTCCCAGTTCACCACTCTGTGTAACTCCAGCTCCAGGGGATCTAACACTCTCTTCTGGCCTCCACAGACACCCCAACATATGAACACACACATAAGTAAGAATAAAATAAATCTTAAAAAAGATTCCTGCTAACTAATGAATGATTCATTCCTGATGGCTTAGGCCATAATTAACCAGGAGAGCAAAGGAAGACCAGCTGCAGGTACTATAAGGTGGGCAAAGCCAGGCCCCTGCCAGCCTCACAGCACAAGGAAACTAGTGCCGAAGAGTTTCATTACTGGAAAACAACGAGAAAAGCTCCAACCACCACCTCTTGTACTTTATTAACAAAATACACACAGCAATAATACACACACCGTCTCCTCCGCAAGCATCGCTACTTAAGTTACAAGTATCTTTTCAAGAAGTGGGTCAATGGACATACTTTAAATTCTTTCTGATAAATATATTGCTGCACTGCATCCGGCCTGGATAGCTCTCTTCAACAAGGAGTATGCGGGAGCCTGTGAGAACAAAGGCTGGGATGTGGGCGGTACAGGGCCTGTGTACCATGCACAGCATCCTGAGTTTGCTCCCCAGTGCCCCAGGAGGGAAAGGCAAACAGGACAAAAGGTATGTTCAGTGACAGAGCGCCTTCCCAGCGCGGCCCTGGATCCAGCCCTGGCAACCCAGCCGTGTGTGCTGCATCTAGGCGCAGATGTCCAACTGGGACTTACTGGTAGGGCAGGGTTTGGGCTCCTCTGGATAAGAAACAGAATCTGGGAAATCATTTAATTTGAAACATTCAGAACACTAGAAGCATCTATGGCCACTGAACCCCTGGGTTTGTCTCGTGGGATCATAACAGAGTAGGGTAGGGGAGCCTCACTCTGGACCAAGGCTGAACTTGTGTGCTTCTATCAAGTAGCTGGTTCCCTGCCTTTAAACCTTTACTTTCAAATGTCTCTTTCTGGGAACAGAAGGCTTTGGCCCCTCAACCTTTAAAATGGTCCCCAAAGCACTACCAGTAACAGCTGGTCCCTACCAGTTCTGCATCGTGGTCCAGGCCTGTGTCATGGTGCTCAAGCTCTTCATCTCGAAACTTCTTGATGACCTGGAGAAGGAAAGGAATTGCAAGTGGAGGGAAGTTAGCACTCCAGGTTGTCCACTGCTCATTCTGTCTCCAGGCAGGAGCTTCGGGGCCTAGTGTACGGCTGAGGTTGACATGCTTTGCCTATGAAGGGCCAGAGCTCTTCACTCTGCCATGTCATGGGTGTGGCTCTAGAGAGACTTATTTATGAAACAGGCTTGGCCACAGGCTGGAGTTTGCCAACTGCTGACTTAGGTTTCAAAAATTAAGAGTTGTTGCCTGTCATAGTCACTATTCTGTTGCTGGGAAGAAGCACTGTGAACAAAGCAACGGTTATAAAAGAAAGCCTTTAACTGGGGACTCAGTATTGTCAGCATGGCAGGGAGCATGGCGGCACTTACGGTGCTGGAGCAGTAGCTGAGAGCTACATCCTCATCCCCAGGCCAAGAGAGAGATTCTGGGCCTGGCATGGGCTTCTGAAACCCCAATGACATTGGCCCACCCCCAATGACACACTTCCTCCAACACGGCCACACCTCCCAATCCTCCTAATGCTTCTCAAATAACACCACTCTTGATGACTGAGGTTTCAAGTACATGAGCCTACAGGGGTCATTCTTACTCAAACCACCACATGGCCAAATACAGAGATGCACACTCTCAGAAACCCAGCACTTGGAAGGCAAAGGCAGGAACACCAAGAATTAAAACCAGCTTATGCCTCAAAAATAAGACAAACAAAATCCAAAGAGACCAACTACTAGGGGGTGTGGAGGGATGATGCTGAGACGGGAGGATCCTCTGTACCAGCCTGGGCTAAATAGTTCCTTCTTTTCCTTTCAGAAAATTACCTGAGGCACTCAACCTAAAGGGTTTATCACCACCTTTTATTTTTAAGATTATAATTTAATCACATTTTTCCCTTCCCTTTCCTCCCTCCAAACATTTGCCCCTCCATGTTCTCCCTCAAATTCATAGTCTCTCTTCTCACTAATTGTTATGTATTTGCATACACATATTTAAATATAACCTGCTCAGTCTGCTCAGTGTAATGCTACCTGTATGTATGTTTCCAGGGCTGACCTTTTGGCCCTGGACAAACAATCGGTGTGCTCTTCCCTGAAGAAGGCCTACTTCCCCAGCTCAGCTCTCCTCCGTGGCCTGTGGTTCTTTGCGTAGACTTTTCTCCGTCCAGTTTTCCATGTTAGCTTGTGTCATCCTTGTTCAGCTCATGTGCTACTGAGTCATGGATGTGCAGAGGCCACACTGACCTGGACTCAGGGGACACTGGTTCTAGGCTTCCCTGTGCCTGGGCTGTGTGACCTGTCTGTGCCTCCCCCTCAGCTGTCTAAGGCCCTGCCTCCCTGCCACTCTTACCACTGTCTTCTTCCCAGCTGTCCCCTGCCCTTTCTCCCCTCAGGCAGCACAGTCGGTCACCTGCAGCAGTTCCTCATACTTCCCAGGCTCCTCCTCCATCAGCTTGCGGATCTGGTTGTTGTAGTGATGAGCGATGGACTCCTCTACCGCCACGGTGCAGGCCATCGCTCCTTCCTTCCCCAGCAAGGCAGTTCCCGCCCCTGCAATCACAAACAAGGTCAAGCGAGAGCCACATGCTTCTGGTCAAGGGTGTCTGCGAGGCCTCCTGACATCTGGGCTGGTAACCCTCCACGGGAGGGCTGAGCTGTGCTTCTCGGGGTGTGCTTCCGCCTCCTGAGTGCTGGGATTCAAGGTGTGTGCCACTACACCCGCACTCAAGCTGCTCTCAGGTTAGACCTGTCGGGAGGCAGCATCTGGCTGTGGCTGCACTATCCTAGCTTTCCTCTGTGTGTATCGTATTTTCTATTTATAAAAGTGACGACTCTATCTTAAAATAACATAAGCAAACAATTCAATCAACTTACTTGTAAATAAAGAAGGTTGGATTGGGTCATGACAAGGGTTTCAGGGGCATGAACAGCTCATCCCCAAGAGCTGAAGCAACTCCTGGACAGACACCTACCCAGTGCAAAGCCTGCCACGTTCCACAGGGGCATCAAAATCGTAGGTCGGACCCTGAACGTGACCATCAACTCGTTGAACTTTTTCAAGTGATTCTTCTCTTGATCCCACATTTTCTGGGGGGGAAACATAAAAGGAGGCAAGCATTACAGGGACTTTTTCCTATACCCTGAGGCCATGACACGGCTGAGTACACAGGAGGAATAAGCAACTGGTGTAATGCTATCTTCCATCCCTATATATTCATGAGATAAAAGCAAAACACAGAAGAATCTAAAAAAAAAAAATAATAATAATAATAATAAAAGCCTGCAAGGCAACTGAAGAACCAAGTCTGCACCTCCTCAGACAGAGCTAAGAGTTCCGAAACTGCCACAAGTCCAGACCCACAAACACCTCAGTAACACAGTCAGCTTGTACACTGAGCCTTCTGGAACCCCACTGAGCCACCGGCTCAAGCAACTACAGGTGAAGATAACGGACAAGATCTGCGTCCTGAGAACACAAAGGCTGTTCTCGGCAGGAAACAGAACAGCAAGGAGAGGTATTCCCCTGCATTGGGGGACTCTCGGTAGCCTTGACGTGCTTCAAAATAGAGCTGCGCATGTGCAGGAGACACAAGCAGAAATACACCGTCTCACTCGCGGGATGCGCTCTGGGGACTGGGATGTCTGAGGGGAATCTAAAGCGACACATGCTAAGCTACCACTTGGTCAGGCACGGTGCCAACGGCTCTGCATGAGCTTGCTCCCCAACCAAACCCGATGAGTCGGGGGTGACCGGGCTAGTTTGCACCCAGGGAAATGAAAACCTAGAGGCCATGTGACCTCTTCAAGGTCACAGAAGGACGCGAGCTAGAAAGGAAAGCTGGGTCTCTGCGACTGTTAACCCCTCTCTCTGGCACTCTGCGAAGACGAGCCTACGAGAACCTGCTCGCACACGGAACCTGGCCCTAACGGAGGAATTTTCAGCCTTCTCTGCCACAGAACATTGACACCATAAAGGCACTCAATTTCCACACCCAGTCCTTCTCTCTTTTTACTTTTCCTCTCTCCCCATTCTTTTTTTTTTTTTTTTTTCTGACTTGGAACTTCCTATGCAGATCAGGCTGGCCTCAAACTCACAGAGATCGGCCTGCTTCTGCCTCTGAGTGCTGGGATTACAGGCATGCACCACACCCTCCGCCATATTCAGTTTATGTCTGTGCTTTTACATAAACAGAACACACATGTGCCCTGCTACCCAGCGCCTCCCTTTGGAACACACAGCCGAAAGTGACGAATGCGGCCTTCCGACACGCTGTCAGTGCAACAGACCAAGTGAAGACGTGGGGAAGTACCCACCTGAATGAGAGGGCCAACACTGCTCCGGCCCAGCACCGCCATTTGCCCTGCATAGATGCGGTTTGCTCCGTATTCGCCAGCATGATCCACCCGAATTATCCGATCCACAACTGCCCAGTTAATATTGTCTAAGGTCATTCCTGAACTGTGAAATCTGGTGGCAATGACTCTCCCATAAGCTGCAACGAGAATGCAAGTGACAACCTTACATTATCCGCACAAAACACCGATACGTCCTCTTTATTCTAAAAAACAAAAACACCCCCTTTAAAAAAAAAAAAAAAAAAACCACAAATTTTTGTGTGGGTGTGTTGAAATGCAGGTGGCAGTCACAGGACAAGTTAAAGGAACTGCTTCTCTTCCCTCCTTCATGTGGGTCCCGAGATGGAACTCAGGCCCTTATGCTTGGCCGCAGGCACCTTTACCACACTTGCCTGTTGTCCTTTTGCAGACTTAGAACCACGGCCATGAGCAAGCCCTGAGGGCCAGACATATCCACTGGTATATTCTTTGTCACCTGCAAAGCTCAAACCCCACAGATTTCACCTAAAGCCTGGAGCTCTGTTTTAGACATATGGCCATCTGGAAAGGCTGAGGCCTGTCCTCAGCTGACATGACAGCTGCTTCAGTCTCCTCTCAAGCTGTACATCAGAGGCCCTGAAGCCATGATACTCTCCTCCAGTCTCCCTGAGAAGCAGCCCGTCCTGATGTTCTGAAGAAGCTCAAGGTACAAAGCCTGGCAACCCAGGCTGGGACTTCAGAGTTCTTTAAACTAGTTCATGAACAGGTCCCTGAGGCCCCGCCTCACAGACTAAATTCTCCTTTAAAACGTATTTTCAGGAAACCAAAGAACAAACACTTTCACTATACTCTCCAAGCCCCAGGTCAGAGGCTCTCAAATGTTTACCTCCTCCCAGAAAGTTCTGGTAGTAAGGTGTGTTCACCCATATGAAAACCCTGGTTTGTCACTCTATAACTACCAAGTCTTTGGAAGATACTTCTTTTCACCTAGGCAAACATCAACATCCAGAAAATGGGTGAAAACGTTCACATACCCCTTTGGTTCCTTCATTAAAAAGGCTTACAGTCTTCGGACACAAGGCCACCCGGGGCAGGTTTAGAGAATCTGGCATGCACTTATGCTGTAGTTCTGAACATGAGTTTTGCTACCGTGTAGACTTTTAGATGCTGTACCTGTTTATTATAGTGCTGGAGAGCAAGCCCAGGGCTTGATGCATTCTGGGAAAACAGTCTACCACTAAGCTAAACCCACAGTCCTGGGATAAACAGGACACTGTGTACAAAGAAGCACGGATTCTGCAGGACTGGGATGAGCTTCGGTCTCCTGCATATGACATGCTCCGCCTCACTCAGCACACTGACTCTAAAAACTAAAGAGATCAGAAAGCAGACAGGGAACCTCAGGTCTTCTGCCAAGAGTAAGGCTCCAACCACTCCAGACTGTCTTCAGATAGTGGGTCTCCATGTCTGTGGCCCACTTTTTATGGGAGAACAACAGGACACAATCAGACCTGCTGCATTTCTGTGTCCCAAGTTCAAGGGCCCGAGCTTCTGGCCAACTTGGCAGAAAGTAGGGTCTGGAGACAGACTTGATGAGCCAGTTTTACTTCTCAGCACAGTCTTGCTTGCTTGTTCTACTTGTTAGCAAAGAAAGGTAGAGGCAACCCACTACCCTTTTTTCAAAAAAGCTACTGAGGAAAAGCCAAAAGAAAGCAGGTGGGCCAAGTTCACACAGCTGGCTTCTGAGGTGTGACGAACAAGATTGCTTGTACTGAGAACACACTGGACTGTTCCCTAAAATCCCACCTCTTCCAGATTCAGGCACTCAGTGACTGGGAGAGGGTCGTGAAGGTTCTGTTTGTGGCTTTCTTCTAACCAAATCAGTATAGATATTTCTTATCTGTAAAATCCTCCAATAAACTCCTGCATCAGGAGGGAGAGGCAGGCAGAGCTCTGTGAGTTTGAGGACATCCTGACATCCTGGTGAACATAGCAAGTCCTGGGTAAGTCAGAGTTACAGAGTGAGTGCTATCTTAAAACCAAAGCCAAAACCTACCCAATAAGAATGCTATTTTTATTTTTCAAGGAGAAACACACACTTAAGATTTTTTATTAAGCCAGGCGTGGTGGCTCATGGCTACAATCCCAGCACTCAGGGAGACAGAGGCAGGCAAGATATCTGTGAGTTCAAGGCCAGCCTTGTCTACAAAGTGAGTCCAGGACAGCCAAGGCTATGAGAAACCCTGTCTCAAAAAACAAAGAATATTTTTTTTTTATTATTATCATGAGGCTAAATGCAACAAAGCCAAGTGACTTCATAAATGAAAGCAAGAGATTCTTGTTAACTCTTCACTGGGTTAGCAAGGGGCCTTAAAACCCACATCCCTGTGTCCTGACTGCCTTGTTTACACGCTTTAAAATAAAACTGAAGCCCACTGCCCAGAAGCTCTTAAATGTGCTGTTCCAACAGTGGTGCCCGGGAGATTTGAAGTGGCAAGTGAGAAGGTTCTAAGTGGGTTATGAATACATAAGTAACATACTAAGAGGCTCTTAAAAACTCTCTTCTAATCCATTTGTCATCAGGGAAAGCTCCATTCACAGCTGGCATCTCTCAAATAATATCCCAACACTGCCAAATACTCTTCTTTTTCAGAAAGAAAAGCAGCTTTCGAAGCAAGCCTTCGTAGGCACACAAAACAGTATCTAATAGTTTCATATCTTGTTATGGTGCGTGCGTGCGTGTGTGTGTGACTGTGCATCAATTTGGGGGCAGGAAATACTGGCTTACTCTTGACCATAAGGATGCGGTTTTGATGAAGTTATTTAATAGGTTGTCGTTATACAAAAACACATCTCAAAACTGCAAACAGTACTGGCATCAGGCAAAACAGAGATCTAATGCCTGAGGATTTCGTTTTGAGAAAAGGACCTCCCAATTTTCTGGGGCAGCTCGGACACATGATTCAGACCTGAATCCAGATCCACCTCTCTCCATTCCAAATTCAAAGCTTCTCGCGTTTTGCAGTGCAGACAGTCCCGTGGGAAGCTTGATAAAGATACAGACAGCAGGGCTGGGAAGGGGAGGGCTCAGCAGTTCAAAGTGTGTACTGCGCTTGCAGAGGACTTGAGTTGGGCTCCCAGAAGCAGCATACAGGGCCTCACAAACTGCCAGTTATTCCAATTCCAGATTCAAACGCTGCTTTTGGCCTCTCTGATGCTTAACTACTGTGTGCGCGCGCACACACACAGCCATAATTTTAAAAAATATATATATTAAATAAATACAAAAAAGAAACACATCAACCCAGGAGATAATGAGCGGAACCCTAAAGTCTGCATTTATAACAGGATGATGCTGGCGACGGAAGGAGAAAGTCCCGGGGGGAGTCTACGGGGAGGACACTGGAGGACTCAAGTTCCACACCTGCACTGACGTCACGCACGTCACGTCACGTCACAGGTTGGTAATCCCTTGGTCTCCAAGGGCAGCCGGCGGAAGTTCACCCATTCCTGTCAATCACTTCGACGAGTACTACAAACCCCACCCCACCCCACGTCGCACGCCTATGACGTATGAAGGCCTTCCCCCGCGACATCCGTGACCTCTAAATATTTCCCGGCGTGGGACTCCGCGCCGGACCGCCACGGCGAGCGGCCGGTACCTGAGAAAGGACCCCGAACACCAGTGCGCAGGCGCCATACGGAAGCAGCCGCTCTCGTTCCCGTGCCGCTCATCGCGGGTGACAACGCAGCCACGGCCCAAGCGCCCGGGCCAATCGTGCTCTCGGCTCGGCGGTGACGAAGCCGAGCCGTCGGGAACGCCCCCAGGCCCCAGATTACACCCGATTGGTTGAAAATTACGAGGCATGTACCCTATTGGCTGTGCTCCCTGTCGATCATTGAGACGCGGTGTAGTAGCCAGGTGGGCTGTTAGGGATGCGGATGCCGAGCTGACCTGGGGCAGTCTCCAGGCGGACCTCTCACCTACTCCTTCCCTGCGAAGGCGACCCCTAGGTTACTGTTGGGGCTTTGTTTTCCCTGTTTTACAGAAATTATTTTTTCGCTTTTAAAAAATCTTAATCAGTAGCGATGACCCGCTAAAACACGCCAGTTTTTGGTGTGGTTGTGGGCCTAACGGTTCATTTCACAGTATTTCCTGCCCCGTCCCGATTTTCCTGTTGAGATTTGTTTCATACATTGTTCTTTGTATTTACTTGGCCGTGTGTAGAGGCGCACGTTAGTGATGAAAATGGCTGTTTGTTGCGGGAAGGAAAATTTAGCAGCAAGCATTTTACATCGAGCATTTTAAAGTGCCTATCCGTTCATATGACAGCTACGGTCTAGCCAACAGAAATAAATGTTCAAGTTAGTAATGCATATAAGGAACAACAAAAAGCAAGGATGGACAGAGACTGGCTTTAGGAAGGCTTCAGTTCGCATCCTTGGTCTTCGTATATATTTGATTCATAGCAACTGTAAGATAATTAAAGCTACTAAGCTATATAACTATAGTGTTCAAATTAGTATACTTCAGTAACTTTAAGATTAGCCCAAGTACTGGACGTTAGTGCCAATGAGAGGGCTGTAACATTCCTGTAATGGTAGCTTAATTGTGGCTCTTTAAGTCTTCACATGGTCAAAACCTTTCCCATGTATTACACTTCTAGATCTGCCCTAAAGAGGGGAAAAAGATGTTGACCTGTATGACGTCCTAGTTACTACTGGAAAATTTTTGGAAGTAAACTGTTAAAAATTGGAGCTGGACAGACGGCTCAGAGGTTAAGAGCACTTCCTGCTCTTGGAGAGGACCTGGGTTTGGTTCCCAGCAGCCACATCAGGAGACTAACAGCTGCCTGGAACTCCAGCTCCAGTGGATGCAGGCACCCTCCTCTGCAGAGTTCATGACCCTCACACACAAATCCACAGTTTAAAAAAAAAAAATCGAGACTGCTAAAAACTGTGATTCATGAGCACAGTTTAGCAGCTCCCTGAAATGTCTATAATGATTAAGTTCAGATCGGATTATGTAGCTCAGTCTTGCCTCAAACTGGTGATATGGCTACATTGGCCTCCAGAGCTTACAGGTGTGCATGTTCTTGAAGGAACTTTGGATAAAGTTCTTTATCTTTGGATAAAGTTTGAAAAAAAAAAAAAACTTTGGATAAAGCAATAAAACAAATATTTAAGTGGAAAAAGTGAGAATGCTACATTTTCCTTCTTCCTTCCATCTGTGCTCTATTTATCTATTTTTATTTATTTATTTTTGGTTATGAGGCAAGAGGCTCACCCTGTATCCAGGTGTCTTGGAACCTGCTGTGTAGTCCAGGCTTGCCTCAAACTCTTGGCTGTCTTCCTCCCTCAGCCTCCTTGGTGCCTCTGTGCTTCATTAAAAAGCAGTTGTGTGCTTATGAATGACTTTAAATTTTTTTTTTCTGTAGTTTTCAATGGTCCCAGGCTTTCTATCTATAATAAGTACTTTTGGGTTTTTAAAAGGGAACAAAGAGTATGTGCTTCCCTAGTCAAATTCTGAAATAAAAGCAATTTTGTCTTATTTTTGTATTTTGAACGTAAGGGCGCTGTCTCTGAAGGTGAAGGCAGGCATTTTGTTCATAGTCACACGGCAAAGGGGACATCCCATGTTTCCAGCATTTCTCATGCTCTGGACAGGTTTCTGATAAAGCTACACTCCACAGAGTGAAGATGTGTTTAGAGGTTCTCCCTGGGTCAGACCTTGTGCCGCCCAAGAAGGGAAATATTTGGTTTCCAAATACTTAGCATAGTGGCCAGCTGCCATCAGATTTTTCAGCTGCAAGATCTTATTCGCCAATTTAACAGCTAATGCAAAAACTAAAGACCTAACTGGTCTAACTGCATTCTCCTCTTTCCTGGGATGAGAACACTTTGTGACTGCAAGAACCTACAAGTCTGCTCTGCCTTTAAAAAAGAAGAACAAGAGCCTACAGCAGAAGAGGGCAAAATGGGAATGTTTGCAGAGGCTTTTAAAGTTTAATTTTCCACTGTGTGTGTGGGGAGAATGACAAAACCCACTTCAAATGCCCAACAGTGACTGCATGGTTTCAGGAGATATGTTTTACTGCTGTGGAATGCTCTATAGCCATTAAAAAGGAGGTAGACACTTGCATAGAACTTCAAGATTAAGGAGAAATTGAGGGAAAATGTATTCACAACACATACCCAACACACACATATATATGCTACAGTATTTATTATATCTTTATAGAATAATAAAATAAATATTAAAACAGTGGCTTTCAATGGTGCCAAGATATAAAAAGCTTAAAATATCTAACACATTCATCAGATGTCAAAATGCTACTTCCTCTAACTTCAGTGAAAAATAAAGAGCAACTTTATGGAGTATTAAGATTTTTCCTCATCACTTGTTTGTTGACAAGGAGCTTCTCTGGATTCAAGTACACAGAATTACACTTTAAAACTTTCAAGACACTGTACATCAGCAGTTTAACACACACCTGTTAGAGAACTGAACTTTAAAACTGTACAGACGTTGCCTGGTTATTTAATGTTATCAAAACATTCAAGTAAGACAAATGCATATTAGCAGCATTAACTAAAACTAGCAAATGGATTGGCATATTTGGTATGTTTTATAACAAAGAAAACATGTTGTTCATTTTATCCACCATCCCACAAACAAACAGGAAGGTAGATAATCCTCAGGGGCCTGGTGAAGGCAAGAATATTCTATGAAGGCACGAGGCGAAAACGCCAACAATTAGAATTTGTAAAATGAGGAGAGTTTACTCAAAACTCCTTCGGTTGGGTCCAAAAACTCAATAGATCTTCAAATACAAGAGAAGGCTAGGAAGCACACATTCCCACAGGAGGAAAAACATCCTATGTTAATACAGCCTTATGGAAGATCAAAGAAATGACTGCCGGGCTTGAGGATATGCGTTCTATCTCCAAGCGTGCACACACACACATCCTAACAAAGGACCCTTTATACGCAGACAGATGTGTAAGCCATGACAAGTCTGCTTTGCTTCCAGAACAAGAAGCCAACCTTTTTTTTTTTTTTTTTTTGATGTACAAGGCAGTGGTCAGAGGAGGGAAATCCTCCTTGGCAGCTTCCTAAAACATGATTCTAACTGTAAAAGGTTAGGAGCCAGTGAAAAACAGTAGAAGATGCCACCTGTCCGTCACCAGACTGCAGCATGCTGACAGATCTTAAAGCAAAAACATCGAATCAGACACTCGTAAAAGGGTGGGCTCCGGAAGGCTTACGATGAGGTATTTATAAATACGGCTTTTCCTGTAGTAGAGATCTCAAGAGATACTCTGTTTCTGTAATGTTTTATAAAAACAAAGATACATACAAACTTAAGCCAAGTTTTAAGTTCAAGCAAACAAAACCTAGCCCTTTGAGATGTGTATTTAAGCAATCAGAACCCAACCTATGTTTGCATTATGGGCTGTTCTTATGAACAGTCTAGGCTGAAGATGTACATCTAAAATCACACCTGTAAACCTCCAGCTCCAATACCAAACAGCACATTGCAGCCTGGCTCTGAAATGTTCGGTGTCCTTCAGGAACGAAGAGCTCCATGCGAGGAAGAGGACTGACATTTGGAAAACGGAGAAACGTCCATCTACCTTGCAAGGCTTTACCCTTCACAAAGTCTCAGGACCCGGGGCCAGGTGGAAAGTGAAGGATCGTGGCCAGCTGGTCGGCTCAGGTCACTTTCCCTTGAGTTGTGGACAAGACTGCAGAAAAGGCTTGAAGAGCTAAAAAGCTGAGGCTCCAACTGCCCCCGCACCCTGCTCAAGGGCTGATACTGGTGTGGGCAGGAATTCAAATGTGACTCGAGCATAGAGCTGGGACGGATTTCCCTTCTGCCACCAGGATGGTCTCTCCACATTCTTATCACCCGTTTCTAGGCCTTAGCATCTGAAGATTTCTATTCATCTGAAAAAATAAGTCAGGCTTAATTTTGTCACCAGTAAACTTTGGGAAGACGCTCAACTCAGCCTGGAAAAAAGCTTACGAAGAAACCACCCAGCGTGGAACTCAGTAAAACTGAGTTCCCCCGTTTTACTTTGAAAATTAAGACAAACCTTTTCTTAAAAAAAAAAATACAAAAGTCTAAACAAAGACAAAATAAATAAAAGTCTCCCCACTCTGATTTTGATTATAAAGGCTGAGCAGCTTGGAAAGTTAGTGTTTTGGTGGGGTCCTCAGTGAGCCACCACTTTCCAGGTGTCAGTCTGGGTGTCAGCCTGCTTGGCTAAGTCACCAAAACGCCCAAAAGTCTAGAATTTCCACTCAAATCCCAGGTGGACTTTGTAGGATCATCGGAGTCACGTGCTGAGAAGGTTCAGGTAGCATCTTCGTGCTCAAACTGGCTGGCTCCGCACATCTCTTTGAGCTTCTGTTAGTTTCTGGATGAGGTAACGTTTGTCACGACTCTCCTAAAGAGAGAGACAAGGTCAAAGTCCATCTTGTCCGTTTGGAAACGTACAAAGCTATTTCTGTCTAGTGAGTCACTGCTCAGACTCAGGGTAAAGGATTACAGTCGTCACATCACAACAGTGACTTCCAGCCTGGCCTGTCCCCAGCACACGAAAGCTGGAGCTCTTCTTTGTACACGGGGCTGAGGGTGTGGCTCAGTTGCCTGGCATGCACACAGCCCTGGGTTCTAGTCCCGACATCGTGTACATTGGGTGTGGGGGTCCTTGTCTGGAACTCTAACCCTCAGGAGGTGGAGCAGGAAGCTCAGAAGTTCCAGGTCATTCTTGACTACAGATTGAGTTTTGAGGCCAGCCTGGGCTACAGAGACCCAGTCACAGACAGACAAACAAATTTAACCAAAACAGTCAATAAAACCCAAACTCCTATCAGATCGCCAGGCAGTGCAGTGACCGCTGGCTGATGTCCAAGAATCGTTTTGCCTCCCACCTCACCCTTCCCAGTCCCCCAGACACACGCACCCCATCCTCTTGTCTCCCCCAAAGTGCCTGCTTTATTCCCATACTGGGCCATCCCAATACTAATCAGGACCCCCAATATGGCTGCTGCCATCATTCAAACCTCACTTCTAGTATCTACTGCATCGCTGGCTGCAGCAGCCTTGGCCCCTCCTACCACGCACACCGCGTACACCTTGCTTTTACAGTCTTCATGGGAATTGGTTTTAAGAATTCATCTTATTGTATGTACATGCCCTTGTATATGTGTACGTGTGTGTGTGTGTGTGTGTGTGTGTGTGTGTGTGTGTGTGTGTGTGCATGTGTTCGGACATTCATGCGGCAGCCAGAGGTCAAGCTTGGGCATCATTTCTCAAGTGGGAGTGGGGAGGTAGGGATAGTATTTGTTTTAGATTTATTTGATTGTATGTGCATCACTGTTCTTCCTGAATGCATGTATGTGCACCATGCACATGCCTGGATGCCTGAGGAGGTCAAGAGAGGGTACCCGATCCCCTGGAACTGGAGTTATGGATGATTGGAAGCCACCAAATGGTGCTAAGAACTGAACCCGGATCCTCTGCAAGAGCAACAAATGCTCTTGACCACCGAGCCATCTCTACTGCTCCCTGCCCACCATTATTCATTCATTTATTTATTTATTTATTTATTTATTTATTTATTTATTTATTTATTTATTATTTTTGAGACAAAGTTTCTTAAGAAGACCTGCAACTTGCCTGGGGTTTAGGCTTGCAGGCCAGTCAGCCCAGAGAACCACCTGATCTTGCTTCCCAGTGCAGGGTCTACAGTGCAGGCCACGATGCCTGGCTTTTTTACCCAGACGCTGAGCTAGAACTCGAGTCCTCGTGCTTGTGCAGCAGCATTTTACACACTGAACACTCAGAAGTTAGAGAAGATAACTTTTGCCTCCTTGGTAGAGTACCGGATGGGCCAAGCGAATGAATGAAACCAGAGAGGGCTGTTTTATTTTTCTTTTTCCCCCTTTCTTTATAGGAAACAGTTTTGCTATGAAGCTGAGGCTGGTGCAGAACTCACTATGCAGTCCAGGCGTACGTGGAACTTGCTGCTCCCTGCCTCAAACTCCTTAAGTGCTAAGATCAGAGGCCTGTGCCACCACGCCCAGAGTCCTGGTTTAATATCCCTGGCAGTGATGCTTTGGGCCTGTGCCTCCTTACCAGGAACAGCTGCTCTCGGAGCTGCACAACCACCCGCTTGTGGGCTCCAGCCAGTGCGATGAAGTAGAACATGACGAGGCTGCAAGGCAGGATGGACAGGTCAGAAGGGAGCCCGTGTTACCAGGTCACTAAAAACCCCCTTCAGACCCGCAGGGAAGTTTGTATCATCTTCAGGCCAACACAAAACCACTCCAGGACTCACACAGAAGCCACTAACCACCACCAGCACTCACTGGGGAGTTGTGATGCCCCAGGCCACCAGAAACCAACACAGCACATTTCATCTGGACTACTCTTTCTTTTGCTAGAAAACAAAAATAACTAAGCAAGCAAGTCCTCGTGTCTCTGAAGCAGAAGGCCTGAGAAACAGCTGGAGTCAGGGGACTCTTGACCTATAATAGATCTTTAACTTCTTAAGCGAATTATAAAGCCACTGACGCTGCCCTGATGTGCAGAATGACAAAGCAGAATGGCCCAGGAAGTCAGCTCAGGCTGTCAGTAACTGGCTATTAATGCTCAGGGCAGGTGCTCTGGCCTCAGTTTCCTCATCTGTGAGACAGATAAAGGAAAACCCAGCGACAAGGTTAGGACTAAAAGCCATCAACAGCTTCCTGTCTGCAGCTCTGGGTCTCAGGTGGGGACAAGCTACCTTCAGGGAGAATTACAAGTGGGACGGAGGGCAAGCCCCCACTTCATTCTTGCTTAACATCCCCAGACAGGGCTGATAAATTGAGGACCAAATCACCAGGACGTCTAGAGATTCTGGAAGACTCTTCAAGTAACAGCTTCCAAGGACAGCAAAGGCAGACAGGATGCCCCCACCAGGGGGCGCTGGGCGAACTACTAACTCTTTCAGCTTCTTGGGAAGTCCCTGTCAGCTACCTGAGCATCCCTAAGTCATTCTATTATTCTCAGCAAGGAATAGGATTACATTGTTCATGAGTTTCTAAAAAACCTGCTTCCTGTAGGGGGCTTTTACTGGACTAACAACATAGGCTAAATGTGATTTGTAAGTTGAGGTGTGAAGCCAGGTGTGGTGGCACACGCTTGTTATCCCAACGCTGGCGCGGCAGAGGCAGGCGGATCTCTTTGAGTTCCAGGACAGCCTGGTCTACAAAGTGAGTCCAGGACAGACAGGGCTACACAGAGCAACCTTGTCTTGGAAAAAAAAGTAAGTTGGGGCGTGGAAGACACATTGGTTGCAGTTAACTGTGGCTTAGACACAGCAGAGCCAGGGCTCGAGTACAGCTACTCTGTTTCTCTGGTGCTTTCCTGTTGTCCCCTGATCCATTATTACTTTTTTCCATAGAGTGTGAGATTTTAGGAACACCACCAGTGATGTTAGAATAGGCCACATTTATGTGGTTTTTTTTTTTGTAAGCAGGACCACAGGGTTCAGTTCACATGTGTGAACTTTCAAAGTCCAGTCAACATTCCCCTGAAAGTTATGTTGTCTGACATATTTTATGATACATTAAAATTAATTAATTAAAATTAATATTTCCCCAGTCTCTTAAAAATAAATTTTAATTTTAAAATGGAAAAGTGAGGCTCAGAGAAGCTCGGTAACTTGTCAAACCTAGCATGTGACACTCCAGGCCTTCCTTAAAGCCCATGTGCTAAAAGTGCCCAGCAGGTGGTGCTGGGAGAAGACTGGTCTGACAGGAGGAGGGTAGGTCACTGGGTGTGTCCTTGAAGGTGATACCGGAACCCAGGTCCTCTCGACTTTCTTTGCTTCCCAGTGAACGTGATCAGGCCTGCCGTACCACATACTCCCACCAGACAGTGCCAGGCCACTACAGGCCCAAAGGCAGCAGGGCCAAGTAACCCTGGAATGGAGCTCCTAAAACCCTGGACCTTCCACGTCCTCTAAATTGACCCTCGAGTATTTTTGTAGTATTTTGTCACAGTAACAGAAAGCATTCTAACATGCCTCCTCCATTTCCCAAGTGAGAGGAGATGTACGGCTCAGTGAGAATTACTGACGTGCGAGCCACTCACCAGATGATCATGAAGAAGGGCACCGCAAAGGCCTCCGATGTGACGCCGTGGATCAGGGTCTGCAGCGAGCTGGGGAAGGCGCTCACGGTCCGAGGGATGACCTCCCAGGTGGTGTTGAAGTTGGTGAACGGCCCGCAGGCTTTGGAGGAAGGGATGCTGCCAGGACAGAGAGGAAGGGAGTCCGGCCCAGGCTGAGACACGCCCCCAAACCGCCAGGGTATCTATTTACAAGAGCCTTCGGGGAACGTGCCCAGTCCAGAAGTTTCTGAGACACTAGGTTTGAAAATGCTGACCCTGAGATTCCATCAGGTTCCTCGGTCTAACTTTCAGTTCGCAGGACATTCAAGGCAGACAAGTGAGAATGATGTCGTGGAATAAAAACAGTTAAATGTACACGTGTTCCCCAGTCTCTCAAGTCAGAGGCAGAGAACATGGCCCAGACCCCTCAAAGAATCAGAGAGAACTAAAAAGCCACGACAGCTGAGTGCTGTCAGGGAAGTGGGAGAGACTGTTGCTTTAAAATAAACCTGGGAAGGACCGTGCTGGGATAATTGACAAATCTGACACTGGTAGGAATAAATGAGCAAAATTTCCTCTGAACGTGCGTGCTCACACACGCACATGAGTGTGCTTGCTTGTCCCTGGAGGCCAGAGGCCAACATCAGCATCTTCCTTCTCTTTTAAAGCAGGGCTTCTTGGTAAACACTGGACCTGGGGCTTGCCCTTTTGACCAGTCCAGCTGACCAGAGAGCCCCAGGGATCTGCTTGTCTCTGTGCCCCTAGCACTGGAATTTAAAAAGTAACAAGAGAAAAAAAAAAAAAAAAACCACAAAGGAAAACCACAAAAAGGGTAGTGGTCTGGAAAGAGCCAGCGGGGTCTTACCAGCCTCTGTGGGCAAACACTCTGGAAAAGCCCTGGAGAATGTTACAGGTCCTTGAACACAGAGCGATACAAGTCACGAAGGAAAGGAAGCTCTTAGAACAAGAACTACTTACCGAGACATGCTGATGGTCAGAGGTATTATAGCTAAGCACAGCCCTATCAGCAACACCAGCAGGAAGAAGAAGTTAGAATTGGATGCTCTGAACTGCCTCGGGGAGGGTCTGCAGGTGTAAAGAAGGCTCAGCTACGGAAGGGGAAAAAATAAAAGCCATGAGTGGGCCTCTGAGAGGGAACACGTTCGCATGCTGTGGTGCAACTGGGGACTGTCTAGCCCTGCCAGGGCACAGTGTGGCACGGATCAGAAAGAATGCTCAACCCAGATTCCAGTTTGGGGGAAATTCGTGTCGATGACATTGATAGGAAGTATGGACCAAAACACAGCAAGACTATCACTGTTGAATACAGAGAATAACCCAGAAGGAATGTTGAAAGCTAACAGTGGGGACTCCTCAAAGTGGATCTGTTAGATGTCACACACACAGAACTTTAAAGTGACCTGTGAGACAGAGAGCATACAGCACTTTACAAGGCCAAGAGACTGCTACAAGCCTCTCACTGGAAGAAAAATGTTAATTTCACAACCCTGTATAGCATAAACTTAGTAAAGTTTTATTATTCAGAGGGGTTTAAATATACACAAGTGAGCCAGGCGTGGTGGTGCACGCATGTTAATCCTAGAACTCAGGGAGGCCAAGGCAGGTAGATATCTGTGAGTTCGAGGCCAGCCTGCTCTACAGAGCAAGTTCCAGGACGGCTACACGGAGGACCCCGTCTCAAAACGAAACAAAACAACAGCCCCACAAACACACAAACAAAACAAAAAGAGCAAACAAGGCTCTCTGTCTTCATTTAAACCAATAATGAACACGGCTTGCTTTTGTAATAACGAACAAACTAGTAAATCCAGGCGTGCCAGCCACCTGCAGGGCTACTTCACTCCCGCACCTGATGCTGCCACAATGTCTGGGGACCATGAGCTATCCTGGGCCTCCACAAGCCACCGAGCCCTGGAACGCTACACACTGACTCCAAAATTATAAAATGGAAATCAACAAATCCCTCGCTAAATGTCACTGAGATACACCACTGCTGTTTGACTGACAGCTGAGACTCAGCTCAGTCAACCATATATAAAAACGACATTCAAGTCGTAGGAGCAAAGCAATTCCTAACGGTGGCTTGAGAAATTTGTTCGACAACAAAACAAAACAAAAACCACCGGTAACCCCAGCACTTGGGAGGCTGAGGCAGGAAGACGGGGATTTGAGCCTAGTCAGAGAGATACAGCAGGACTGTGTCTCAAAAACAAACAGAGGTGACAGTTTATGTGGCGTCTCTTCCCAGAAGAGATACTGAAGAAGTGGTACTGCAGGAGGCCCCGGCATGGGGGGGCACAAACAATGTGAGTGCCCTAGATGGGGCTGGGGACCCAGCTCAGTGGCATCCCACTGGCCTGGCATGCTGGAGGCACTGGGTTCCTCCTGTCCGCAGCACGGCAAAAACAAAACGGCAGGAAGGGTGGTGCGGGGTTCGATCCCCAGCCCCTTTCCTCACCTCTTTCACGTAAAAGATGATGACGAATTTCAGGGTTGCGATTGCCGGGAGGAGTGGGGAGAAGAAGGCTCCGATCCAGCAGATGGTCTGCCCGTACACGATGCCCAGGACGTTGTCCGGGATGGCAAACTCCTGCTGCCCCCAGCACTGGATCAGCTTGGAGGAGGCACAGTAGGTCACCAGGAGCCTGGAAGCAAACTACACATTCGTACCCGGCTCCACTAGTGCCCTCAGAGCCACACCCACCAACCAAGGCCATTTCCACGGCAAGAGGGTGCAGCTGTGTGAATGTGCCCACGGAGGCCAGAGACTGCTGTCAGGCATCTCCCTCAGCCAGGCTCCCACTTAGTTTTTGACAGGACCTCTCACTGAGCAGGGAGCTTAGTGGCCGGCCTAACTGGCCAGCCACTGAGCCCCAGGGATCCCCCCCATCCCCAACTCTCCAATGCTGGGGTTACAGCCACAAGCTGCCACTCCAGGCTTTTGCGTAGGTGCTGGAGAGATCTGATTTCAGGTCCTCATGTTTGGATGGCAAATACGTCACTGACTGAACCATTTCCTTGGCTCAACGTTTCTTGTTCTTGTTCTTGTTTCTTGTTCTTATGAGTGCAGATGTGTAACAGCATTTGTACAGAGGGCAGAGGACAACTTGTGGAGGTCAATTCTCTCCTTCCACCACGTGGATCAGCGAGCAACCTCAGGTGGTGAGGGTGTGACACCACTGCCTTTGTCCTCTGAGACAGCTTGCTGGCCCCCAAATCTCTTTTTCTAATATCGAACTTTAGGGTTCTCTGGACTTCTCGCCCACATCTGAATGATCTACCTAAGTTGCCTGGGCTGGTCTAGAACTCAGGATGCTCGTGCCTCAGCCTCCTGAGTGCTAGAAGGAGGAGGACAGGCCTGCAGCGTCACACCCTGGGTACCTTGACTGTGTGGTGAGCAGAGAGTCATAAAACTCCTGGAAGGACAATGACAGCAGTGGTGAGGGTCACATTCTGTGGAGCCCTGTGTTCTCCCCGCACTGATCTGTGTTATCGTGTTTATTCTCAGAGAAAGGCTATGCTATCATCCCTTCCCTGTCTCAGGCGAGAAACTTGCTGAGAGAAATAACTCGTTCATGGTCACCTGACATGCAGGAAGCTGCTGTGAGCCCTGATCCAGATGCCGCCCCTAGTGTGTCTGCACAGGGCCTTGACTGTACCAAGTACAGGTCAGCCCAGGAGGCCCGTGGGAAGTGGCAGCATCTCCACCCTGGGTACTGCTGCTGCCAGTGTCAAGAGCCTGTTTCAGAGAGAAGGAAGCGGGAAAGAAGAGCCATTTGACAGTTACCAGATGTCAGATTCCCCAGTGATGCTGGAGCCACCAAGCACTTGTGGAGAACAGCTGGGTCAGGAGTTGGGGTGGCAGGAACCTCTTACACTTACTTCCTTGGGAAATCCACAAACAGTGTCACAGCCAGGATGATGATGAAGTCAAAAATCATCAGCTTGTACATCTCCTGTCCCACCTGTGTCTCCCAGCACTGAAACCAAGACACAGAGACACACTGAAAGACCCACTCCCAGCCCAGGAAGGCAGCCTTCTGTATCCCGCTGCCCCTAAGCTCCTGGTATCCAAGCCCCTTGACGATGCCCGGCATGGGGCCACCCCTGCCTCGAAGCTGGGAGTCAATGCCATGGCTCACCGGGTAGAGTTTCTGGTTATAGCCGCAGAGTTCACATGTGTGGTCACCACAGGACGTGATCTTGGAGCCCAGCGTGAACACCAGCACGCAGATGGTGGCCAGCCGCATAAAGACACACCTGCAGGAAAGCGGGGAGGGGGAGAGAAGGCATCAGAGCCGGCCTCCCGATGGACCTGACACTGAGGAACACAGGCAGCTTCCTTGCCAGCAAAAGCTGAACCTAAGCAGGGTTTGGGAATGATAGAGGAAAGTTCTGGAAGTGGGTGGTGGGGAACCGGTCAAGGCCAGTGAATTGAACACTTCAAATGGATCATTCATATATATATATATATATATATATATATATATATATATATATATATATATATATATATATATATATATATATATATGAAGGTGTCAATGGAGGCCGAATGGGGACATCGAATCCCCTAGAACTGAGATTACAGGCTGTTATAAGCCACCTGACGTGGGTGCTAGAACCTGAACTCAGGTCCTCTGCAAGAGTTCCTAATCCCTAGCCATCTCTCCAGCCCCTGTGGGTTCTAAGGCAGGAAAAAGCAAGGCATAATGGTACACAGAAATCAGCCTGAGCCACAAAGTGAGACCCTGTTTCAGAGAAGGGGAAGGGACTGGAAGGGAGAATGAGAGAAGAAGGGAGGGGGATGGAGGGATGGGCACAGAGAGAGGGAGAGAGAGATTGAGACTGATTCAGTAATCAAAAGCATCATGTGGACTTAGCTGAACCCTAATTTGAACAAGCCACCAGCCCTACCATCATGTGTGATAAAGTTTTGTTGAATCAAGTCCTGCTCACTTTGAGGCACTGAAGTGTTTACAGGCGAAATGACATGCCACCTAAGAGCTCTTCACTACAATCCAGCAGAAACAAGGAGAACGCATGAAATAAGGTAGGTCAAAGGTCAAGCATGGATGAAACTGTTGTGTGGAAGGGCTTGAAAGTTGCTACAATGGCAGGGAGGGAACCACATGGGGGAGGAGAGAAACAAAAGTGTGGAGGAAGTCAACATGATTGAAACATGTTATTATACACAGGTATGAAGTATCACAACAAAACTCATTATTTTATCCATAGAAGTGCTAATAATAAAAGCTTCTCTCTTAGGTGGAGAGATGGCTCAGAAGTTAAGAGCACTGTCTGCTCTTCCAGAGGTCCTGAGTTCAATTCCTGGCAACCACATGGTGGCTCACAACCATCTATCATGTGATCCGATGCCCTCTTCTGGTGTGCAGGTGTACATGAAAATAGGGCACTTGTGTATAAGTATAAAAATCTTTTTTTTTTTAATCCTCTTTCTCTCTCTCCCCTTGTATTTCCAAAATAAAAAGGTTTTGTTGTTTGCTTGCCTCTAAATACGGTAAATACAGTCTGGAGTGGTGGCACAGGCCTGTAAGTCCCAGCACTTACGTGGCTGAGGCAAGAGGATCCCGAGTTAAGGTCATTAAGGACACAGTAAGGATTTCTAACAACCATTCTCTTTTCACAACAGTTCATTCACTCACAAATAAAGCTATCCAGGACAAAAGATAAATTCCTTAGCTTTCCTAAACATGCTGAGACTGTCTCTGTCCTGGCTTGTTTTGTGTCACCTTGACAAAAGCCAAAGCCTCAGTTAAGAAAATACTTCCATAAGATTGGCTATAAGACATTTTATTTTTCTGTCTTTTTCTTTTCTTTTGAATTTTTGAGACAAGGCTTCTCCTTGTAGCCCTGGCTGTCCTGGAATTCACTCTGTAGACCAGGCTGGCCTTGAACTCAGAGATCCACCTGCCTCTGCCTCCAGTTCTGGGATTAAAGGTGTGCGCCACCACCACCCGGTGGCATTTCTTAATTAGTGATTGATGGGGGAGGGCCCAGCCCATTGTGGGTAGGGCCACCTCTGGGCTTGTGCTCCTGGGTTCTATAGAAATCAGGCTGAGCAAGCCACGGGGAGCAAGTCAGTAAGCAGCACCCCTCGGTGGCCTCTGTATCAGCTCCTGCCTTCAGGTTCCTGCCCTGACTTCCTGCATTGATGAGCTATGGTGTGGAAGTGTAAGACAAATAAACCCTTTCCTCCCCAACTTGGTGTTTCACTGAAGCAATAGAAACTCCTAAAACAGTCGCAAAAAATGGAGAAAAAAATTCAATCTCACATATTTGAGAAACAAGAAAAAAATTATCCTATTCAATTCATAGTGGCCATTCAGCCATCTTTACTCAATGGTATAAGCTCTCCAGACTCGGCCTAATACTGTCAAACTCTGCCATCTTTACAACAGTATGTCATTCTAGTCTTTAGTCAATACAGAATCAAAGGTATAATACCGACAGGAGACTCTGACGTCACTATTATACAGAAATGATGGCGTAGCTGTGGGCTCATCAAAGGAAGGGTGATTCTCAGCATAGCAGGAAAATATGCCACTGTCTATTAGTGATGTCTGCCATGGGCCAAGCCATGGTCTACTTGGCACGCATGCGGTTAGGCATTACCTAAGAATTGTCAGGCGGATCTCAAAGCCTGGCGAGTAATCCTCATAGTGGATGATCCTGGCAAAGATGATTGGGGTGATGAAATTGGCCAGTGTGATCACAATGGATGGGAGGTACAGTATCAAGAGGTTCTCCCCAAAAACCATCTTGTCGATTTCCTGGAAAGAACAGATTGCACTGGTCAGCCTGAGCAGGATGGTGATACTGATGAAGTGATGAGAACGCACCTGTGCCTCTTAGGCAGACAGACAGAGCAGATTTATCATCCCGTGTGGCTGGGAAACACCAGCTTTGGGTGCTCAGATCTTTCCCTGGAGGCATACATGCAGAGATCTAGTGCCAGGCAAGAAGAATAATGAAGCTACTGGGCCCATTAGTGCAGTATACAAAATTCTGTGCACGCTCTCTGAATAGCCAATTCAAGGTACTTTCAAGGATGTTGTAATGATTGATTTCTCTCCTCCCTTTATAGTAGCAGATCACTTAGCCATATATATAGCTATCCAAGATGAAAACCAACGTTCTTAGCCTTCCTCGAAGGCAGGTACGACTGTAACTAAATTCTAGCTAAGGCTGTACAAGAGCAAGTTTAAACTCAAACTGCACATTTCATCCTTGCAGATGGGCCTGCCCCAGCCCTGCCTCTTTCCCCTTGGCTAGCATGGGGATACAGTAGTAAACTATCTTCTACCCTACAAAGACTGCTACAGCCTAGGAATGCATGCCAAAGCCACAGGTTGAATGGTATTCAGGGTATTTGGGTATCCAATACCTAATGACTGACAGTCACTAGACCAATCTAGATTTTTGTAGACCAGGCTGACCTTGAACTCAGAGATCTGACTGCCTGTCTCCCCAAGTGCTGGGATTAAAGGCACACATCATCACCACCTGGCTTAGACTTTCATTTTATATATCTAAAAAAGACTTATTTTGAAGTTTGGTCTGAGTCTCCTAAGTGCTAGAATTCCAGGTATGCACAACCCATACTCAGCTTCCAACATGGATTTTAAAACACTGCTTGAGGATGGAGAGAGGGCTCAGGGGGTAAGAGTGCATACTGCTCTTGCAGAGGACCTGGGTTCAGTTTCCAGCATCCAGAGCTACCTGAGTGTCTAACTTCAGGGGATCTGACACTGTCTTCTGATCTCCATACACTCAGAAACCCCACCCCCTACATATATTTTAAGATTAAAAAAAACTCTTAAAAACACTGATTCTTTAGATAAGGGCCTGGACAGTAACTAGAGGAGTCACAGATAAATCAGAGGCAGCCCGGCTTAGATCTGAATACTATGAACACTTCAGGTGGAAAGAGGTATATGCCTAAACAGCATTTCAGATGACTTCAAAGAAGAAACTGATCCTGATTTCCGGTTCCTCTATCAACCAAACTTCTCTCCCCACCTGAATAGGGAAATGGTGGTAGCACCTTCCACACATGCAAGACCCCCAGCATGCCGCCACACCAGAGCGAAAGATCAACTGACTCCCGAGTGGCACTTACTTTTTTCATGTGTTCTTGTGAGAAGGTGGTGGCTAGGTAGATGGCATAAAAGCATGCCGCTAGCACAGCCAGCACAATGCAGTTCAGAAACAGCCTCAGAGAGTAAATGCGCAAGGTCTCCTCTGAGGTCCTCTCTGCTATTTTCTGGCGTATTCTCTCTTCCTCCAGATCTGCCTGAGGACCACAGAAAACCCATTGGTGAGCAGCGGGAGGGGTTATGTGGAGTACACCCTACAGATTTGTCTTCAAGACTGACATTGCCCACGATTCCTTCCCAGGCTAAGCCTCACCAGTTTTTAGGTCTAAGGTTTAAAGGCAGTGGTTCTCAACCTTCCTAATGCTTCGACCCTTCAACACAGCTCCTCATGCTGTGGTGACCCCCAACCGTAAAATTATTTTCATTGCTACTTTGTAACTGTAATTTTGCTACTGAAATGAATCACAATGTAACTATCTATGCTCATGCTAAGGTGGAACCACCTATTGAAGACTGCCTTTGGCTTTATAATAAATGTGTAAGTTGAATCAGCACTTATAACGCAATGTGTGTGCATTCACATGCATATAATGTAGTATGTCTTTAAATGGGATCTAACTGGGTACCACTACTATTTTAATTTCACTCATTAATTTGCCATTTATTTATCTGAAGTTCTGAGGATTGAACCCGGGGCCTTGTGTATGCCAGGCCAGCACTCTACCATTGATCACAGCTCAAGCCCTTAAAGAGTTTTTGTATTTTTGAGATGGCCTTATTGAGTTGTCTGGCACAACCTCGAATTTTAGCTCTGCTGCCTCTCCCTTCCAAGCAGCTAGGATTATGGGTTTGTCCTACTATGTTTGTTTCTGATTCAGTCTGGGAGTCTCTCTCTGCTTTTAATAGGAGAATTTGACCCATTCATATTTAGTATAATGTTAATAATAAATAGATACAAACCCATCCACCTTCCTTCATTAAGCTTTAGATTCCCACCCTGAACCCTTTTCTGATGATTCTGACCAACATGCTATTTATTTCTCTTTCTCTATTAATGTGAAAGTTTTCCTGTTTTTTTTTTCCCACCTTCTCTCTAATCCATTATTATCAGTGTTCCCTTCATGTTTCTAGTGCAAACAATGTTCATGACAGCCATGACCAGTAGGATATTAGGAAGATAGTGGGGGGTGGGACACCATCTGTCTGGCGCCCCCCCCATCTGTCCCATCTCCCTTCCCAGTCCCAGGTTACTAGTACCCATGCGTGGGTTAAAAGTGATCAAGCCAACAAGCTGTTTGCTATAACAAGCTCTTAAAAACTGCAAAGCGGAAGCCAGCTAAGACTGGGCCCTGTGATGCCGTGTAGGCTGCAAACAGCCTCCCCAGATCCAGCCTGGCCGGTGAGTTCCCTCCCCAGGGTAACACGGTAGCACTCACTCGGAGCTCATACCGCAAGCTGCTATGCTTCAACTCAGCCATGCTGCGATTGGTGATGCAGAAGTCCCAGCCAGCAAAGATCTTGTTACAGTAACTCTGGAAGTGCTCCTCGCTCCGAATCAGGTTGACTTTGAACCCTTCCACTGACCTGACCCCAAAACACAAAGCATCGTTCTGAGAACAGCAGCAAAATAAAGGCCCATGATTTGGTCTCATATAAGAGCTACAAAGCTGGACCTGGCTCTGTTGCTCGCCCCCTGTGACCCAGTCAGGCTTGTTCTAACTCTACCGGGCAGCTAAACAGGCATCTCACTGATGAAAATCGCTCTTTTATTCATTCAGTAACTTCTTTTTTAAAAGATACCCTTATTTTACGCGTATGGGTGTTTTGCCTGAGTGTATATCCTGTGTACCCTGTGTACACCTGGTACCTGTGGAGGACAAAAGAGGGCGCCAGATCATCTAGAAGTGGAGTTGTAGATGGTCCTCTGGAGGAGCAGCCAGTGTATATAATCACTGAGCCATCTCTTCAGCCTCCCTACTCAGTAACTTTTTCAAAAATAATTTTCTTGTATTTATTCATTTTACCTTGTATATTTCATTATTTGTTGCAAATGCTGCAGATTGAATCCAAAGTCTCTCCCAGGCCAAGTCAACTCTGAGCCAGACTCCTAGCTGCCCTTCCCTCACAAAACTTTATTTTGAGACATTTACTAAGGTGCCCAGCCTGCTCTCAAACTTGTGATCCTCCTGCCTCAGCCTCTTGAGTAGTTAGTTAATAAGTGTGTACCAGCATGCACACTTACACAGCGCAAAGTTTTAATTCAGTAGTTTCTTGTGGTATTCACAAACACAGCTTCTGTTGTGTTCCAGGTATTATTTAATGAGGCAGTTATGAACAGTATTTAGAATTCCTCTCGGGGACTGCTCTCTTGGGAGCTGCTCTCTCACCAGGCCATCAGAGACAGGCCTTGGCACCCTATGACCTGTCAGACACACTTTTCACACTGTGGCAAATACCTGAGATAGATAGCTTAAATCAGGAAAGGCTTATGTGCTTCACTGTTCCAGAAATTTCTATCCATGGCTGGCTGGTTCCAGGGCTGGGCTGGAGGTGATGGGGAAGGCATTAGAGCAGCCGGGCATGGTGGAAGAAGCAGAAAGGGGAGATGGAAGTACCTCACAGTGTCCAGGAAGCAGAGAAGGGGGGGAGGGAAGGGATGCAAAGTCTGTCACCTTTTCCTCCAACAGGGCCCAGCTCCTAACAGCCCATTATCTGTGACTCCTCAGTGCATCACCCCATTTGTGAGGTCAGCACGCTCACGATGCATCCAATCAGCCCTGCCATCTGGGAACCAAGCTTTCAATATCCGAGTCTTTAGAGGCAATTTCGCATTCAAAGTACATGACCCTAACCCGGGGCTGGACATACACCAACGGGGGCTCAACCTAGTCTCCTGGCTCTGACCACAATGGAAGGGGTTCGGGATTAGGCATCTGAGCGACAGGGTCAACACCACCTTCATAGGATTTCTATGCCCGTGACCCAGGGAATTGCAGGCTGATAGAAACGGATGTATTTCCCACCACTGCAGGGAGCTGTCACCACACAGATGCTCAGAGCGGGGGAGGCCTTTGCTGTTGATGCTGTTCCTAAGCCATGGCTGTGTTCTTCTCAGAACGGTATCTCCCCTTCCTCGGCTCTTGGTGCACTCAATTCCCCAATGGTCCAACTAACCAGAGTTGGCTTCTGCCATTTGTAAGACAATAGAGACCTAGTTAATGCAACATTTGCTCAGCCAGAATAAAGCCTGCCAGGAAGAGCCCCTTAGCACACTGAACTGCAGGCTGCTGCTCCAGCTGCCAGGTCCTGACTTCTACTTCCTCCCAATCTTGGCAGCATACTCATTTCCTTCCCCCAAAGCCTGGCCGTGGGCGCCGCTCATCTCTCAGGCCCTGGCTTCCAGAATCCACAGAACAGTAAGAGACTTCAGCCATCAAAACTGCCATCAATCTGAGACGTCCACACCAGCTCATGCAGGTGGGAAAAATTTAGGGAGGTTATGGAACCTTTGGGAGGTGGGACTAGCTCGAAGAGGTAGGTCATAGGTCCAGATTCTTGGTTACAAAGTGTTCTTTGCTTCCTGATCCACCACCATATAAACAAGCTCTTTCTTGTACTTGGACTGCCATGCCTTCCCCACTGTGAGGGACTGGAATTCCCTGCAGCCATGGGTCCAGATAAATCTTTCCTCCCTCGAATCATTGCTGTCAGGTACTTGGTCACTGCAGCAGAAACATTACTGAAGCAAACGGCAATCAAAGGGGAAAGAAGACGCACTTGCCTTTTCACTATCCAGAGGAGGCTCAGGGCCAGGTAGGCAATCGTGCTTACCAAGTAAGCCAGGGGCAGATCATACGTGAAGTTCTGGAATTTTACTCCATCGATGGTGTAGTGTCCATAAAAAAGGCTGGTCTCCTCCAAGAAACCCTGAACAAAGCAAGAACACAGAGTCAGGTGGGTGAGCTCAGGCAGGCAACCAAAGGAGGCACCCCCCGCCTCAAGGAACCCACACTCAAGTGTCCTTGTTCATCTCGGACTCTCTCCACACCAGAACGAGACCCAGGATGTATGGGCTGCTCAGTTAGTGTTTGGAGAGTGTGCTACTGCTAAAACCTGAGCATCAGAAATAACTGGTAACGGCTGGAGCAATGGAGGCTCTTGCAGAGGACCCCAGCTTGGTTTCCAGCACCCACAGCAGAGGGCTTCCAACTTCCTGTAACTCCAGCTCCAGGAGACCTGATGCCCTCTCTCTGGTCTCCGAGGGAACTGCCTCATGTGCACGGATTCCCACGTGGATGCATCCATACACACGTAACAAAAAGTTAAATACTTTTTAAAAAATTAACTGGTAACTCATACTTAACCAAAATAAAAAGAAGTGTAGGCCACAGCCTCAAGAAGAATAGTTAAGAATAAGGTTAACACAAGCATAAATAGTATATTCTAAAAACTCTAGACCACAGTTGAAATAAACACAGGCTGAGGATACAGGTCAGTGCTGGGCTAGTATACACAAGGTCATGGATTTGATCCCAGCTTAAACCAGCTATAGGGGCACATGCCTGTAACCCTAGCAACTCTGGAGATAGAAACAGATGGATCAGAAGTTCAAAATCATCCTTTGAGACACATAGCTAGTTTGATGCCAGCCTGGGCTACCTGAGACATTATCTCAAAATAACAAAACAAACAAAAGAACCAACAAAAAATAAATGGAGAGGCATCCCATGTTCTTGGTCCAAGGTTTCCACATCAACTCCACAAATGGTTCTACAGAACCAGTATGATTCCAATCAGAACCCTGGCTGGCATCATCAAGTTTAGATGTAGCTGCAAGGGAGTCAGTAGCCAAAGCAGCCCTGAGAAAGAAGAGTAAAGGTGGAAGACTATGTCTCTCCTCCAGGTCTTATTGCAGAGCAAAATCAAGATCATCCAGTGCAGGCATAAAAAAGGCACAGAAGCTGGGCCTAGTGGCCATGCCTTTCATCCCAGCTCTCAGGAAAGACACAAGGTGGATTTCTGTGAGTTCAGGGCCAGCCTGGTCTACACAGTGACTCCCTGTCTAAAACAAAACAAATAATAACAACAACAAAAACAGACACACATAGCAGAAAACAGAACCATGCATCCACACATCTTTAGCTAGTGAGAAGGGAAAAATGTCTTCTGAACAAAGGATACTGACACACCCAGAGAGCCAAATCACATATAACATCAGCTTAAACTGGATCAGAGATCTAAGCATTAGAGCTGAACATACAAAACAATGCTGACAGGTTTAAGGTCAGGCTGAGCCAAACAGCAAGACTCTGTTTAAAAATAAACAAATGGATAATAAACAAAGTCCTATATTTTTTTCATGACAACCATGTATTCCCATACAACCCGAGTAAGAAAATGTTTGAATAGAAGAAGTAGAACGGGAAGACTCTATACTGTCTCCTCCTCTAGGAGGCTGAGCACAAACATCATAAAAATCTGTCCAACTCTTCGGAAGATTTTCCACATGACCCCAGGTTGATGTCAGCTCTCACCAACACGTCCCTCACAATAAAGGAACATCACACGACCAAAAGACCTCAGAGCCTAGAAATTAAGTTCCCTGACTTCAGAAGTAGCCTATTTTCAGAAGTCTAGCTTGTCGTCTTACCTCTGGCCCTCTTTCTTCCTGCTGGGCCTAGTTCAGCATAAAGTGATAGCAACAGAATGAAATAAAACCCATTCCTCGTGGGGTATGGTGGTGTATGCCTTTAATTCCAGTACTCAGGGAGGCAGAGACAGGTGGATCACTGTGAATTCAAGGCTAGCCTGGTCTACAAAGCAAGTCCAGGACAGCCTAGGCTACACAGAGAAACCCTGTCTCAAAAAACCAAAACCAAACAAAACAAACAAGCAAAAAACATGCCACATCTCAAGAGCTTAGGAGCCAATGGCTCTCATGCTGTGCACAACAGGCCCAGGCTACTCTCCAGAACTTACTCTCTGCAGAAAGTTCTTTTGGACAGGCCTGCTGAAGCAAGCTTCCTGGATTGCACATCTATGATCATGTACCACTAACTGTCCTGTAAAACACTAGCCCATGTTGTTTGTGGGATGCAATCATAAAAAGTGGGAGTTATTTAGTGAGTTCCTGTTCTGAAAAAACAAAGAGAAGGAGGGAGAAGGAGGGAGGAAGAGGAACAGAGATGACAGGACCTCTGAGGCTTGGTTCCAGGAAATTTTTTATTATTATTACTATTTAATGAGGCAGGGTGTTACCATGTAGGCCAGGCTGGCCGAGAACTCAAAGAAATCCACTTGCCTCTGGCTCCCATGCCAGATCAAAGGCGTGCACCACTATAACAAGTCAAGTTTTGCTTTCAGTAACAATGACTTCCAGCAAGCCACTGAGCTGTTCTCATCCACGTTCTCATCTCATTTCTCATAGTTGGCATTTGACTGTGAGTCCAACCACCCCTGAGTTATTTTGTAGAAAACATTGACTTTGGAGATTTAAAGCCCCCCCAATATTAAACATAATGGGCAAATTCCAGGTTTTTATCTATCCATTCAGAGAAGCAGCAAGTTCTATGACATGGCATTTTACTACTAGCAACTTCCAGAAAGATGGTTTAATGTGTAAGCTGGATTTCTTCTATCTGAAATGCTTGGAACCAGAAGCATCTGAGATTTCAGACCTTTCCAGAATTTAGAATTCTCCCATAGACTTCACCAGCACGCTGTGCATAAGACAATCCCAAACGCCCCCCAAACTGGCTTTGGGTTTTCAGATCAGAGATGCCAAATGCACGGCATTATAATTCAGGTCAATGCATAGGTAGCAGAGACCAGGAAAAGCAGTGGGGAGTATTTCCTAAACTCTAGTGGGAGGTCAGCAGGCGAGCACAGGACCTGCTGATAAAATCACTGCAAACTGCTTCTGCTGCTCACTGTCAACACTGGCATTTGGCTCACTGGTCTTGGAAACAGGACAATGTCTTCTGGGTTTTGTTGTTGTTTCAAGACAAGGTCTCACTATGTAGACTAGGCTGGCCCGACAATCCTGCTGTCTCCTCCACCTGTAAGACGACAGGCACACACCACAGTGCCCCATTCAAGACCCGGATGTCTACATCACCAGCCTGTCAGGTGAGGTGGTCCACCGGGGATTGAGTTAAATAAACACTTACTGTGCCAGACAACAGGTCTATGATGTAACTGTAGAAGTAAATGAGCCCAGAGCTACTTATTGGATACAGTGTGCACTGAATATCTGCAAGAAACAAAAACAGTTTACAAACAGTTACAAAACACAGTTATAAACGGCTTCATTATGTCAGTAATTCATCTGTTGGTTTGCGAACAAGAGCTGTGACTACACGCTCAGCTACACCTGTTTGTACATGCTCTATTTGTCATTTCCTGTGTCTGACACATCCCCTTTCCTCTGCCTTCTATAAACATTTCCTTTACTTTCCTTCACCATGAACCTCTACTAAACAATTTAGGGCTCTATTTTTCAGTCTTTAGAGGGTGTTTATTGTTTCATTGTTGCCTTTAATTATTTACATGAATGTGTGCGTGCAACTCGTTCACAGAGCCGCCCACAGAGGGCAAGAGACAGAAGTTGGAAACAGAAGTTACAGGCAGTTGTGGATTGCCTGGTGTGGGTGCTGTAAACCTAACCTGCACCCTCTGCAAAAGCAGTATAAGCTCTGAAATGCCGAGCCACCTCTCCAGCCCCTTGTTTCAACTTTTAGTGACAAGCTCTCACTATCTAGCTCAGACTAGGCCCCAATTTAGCATCTTCCTGCCTCGGCAACCTAAGTAGTGAGATTATAAGATTTGTACCACCAAGTGCAGTTAGTGCTTGATATGATTATATTCTTAATATCTATTTTATTTTTTTTAATTATGTGTATGAGGGGGACACATGGATGCAAGTGCCTACAGGGGCCAGAACAGGGTATCAGATCCCCTTTAGCTGCAATTACAGGCAGTTGTGAGCTGCCTACTGTGGAGCCGGGACCAAAGTTGAGCCATCTCTGCAGCCCCAATATTTACTGTTCGCTAAATGACCTAAGTACTCAAAAAAGTATTGTTTTAAGGGCGGAATAATTGTAAGGGGGAACAGTCAGCCCAGCTCAACAGAGAAAGAAATTAAGGCACAGGAAGGCTAGCTGAGCAGCACGCCTGGCCTGGAAACCTAATGCTGGCTTTCACACAGCAGCAGGAAATACGCCTCTAAAAGGGCAATTCACGTGAGAAAACAGCAGGGCAAGAGAAGCAGAAAGCAGGCCCCACACTAAATCCAAAGTGCTAGGTTACCGGAATCTTAAGTGAATTTAAATGGAAACAAAGATGAGGAGGGATGCACAGGGCCTCTGAGTGGTTCCCCAGGATTCTTCTGGGGATGGAGGTATGTGCCAGAAGGGCCTGGGGGCTTCCCAAGCCCTTTGAAAGACCTGGGACCAAGCTGGCTTCCACTGATCCTGAGATCAGAGGTTTGTAGGGTACGTCGGTGAAACAGAGGAAACCCTTCCCACCTGGGCCAACAGGATCCCCCAGAAGATCTGAGTTTTGCAGAGAATACAAAAGCCCAGTCAGTCCAGCACCTCCTGTGGTGTCTGGCACAAGATCACTGTGGAATTGCTAGCAGCTTCAAGCACGTTGTTTTTTGCACGTTGTTTTCTCTAAGTCATGTTGGGGGAGGGGTGTAGATCCTGTTAGGTTTGCTAAATACCCTGCATTGCTCCTCCCACAAGCCCACAAGAACCCAGGAGGGGCTGGGTGTCCTGATCCAGCCAACGAAATGTGGAAGAAATATGTTTGTGTGTCATCTCTAACCAATCAGCACACATTTGCCATGGCTTCCCCCCCCTGGACCACAGTGTACAATCATGGCTGCCCCAGCAGTCTGGGCTCCTGAGTGAAGATTTCCCAGCCCACGATGGATCTGGACTATGAGAAGTAAATGTTTACAGCTACTGGCACCCAGGAGAACGGGATCATGTGTTTCCGAGACCTAACCAGTCCCATCCCTGACTGACACAGCGGCCTAAGGCTCAGGGCCACGGAGCACAAAAAAGGAAGCACTGCAGCTCGGACAGCCCTTCGACTCACCCATGTCTTTGAATGGAATGAACACGAAAGTGCTGTTGGTAATCTTGTACTTGGTGAGTATGATGGGGAGTAAAACCAACGTGAAGATGATCAGGAATATCACCAGGTTCAGCACCACCAGGAACCGTAGGAAAGAGAAGTAGGACTGGATCCCTGTGCCAAACTTCCCTGGAAAAGGCGACAACATGGCTGTCAGTGACCAGCCACCCACTGTGGACTCCATCACCAAGAGGAGGCTGAGGTGGGAGGGTCCCTGCTGTGGGAGAGAGAGGAAGAACCATAGTCCTTGGCTGTATTTTTTCTCATTGTGTGCGGGGCACCTGTATGGAGGTCAGAAGACAACTTTCAGGGGTCAGCTCTCTCCTTTCACCATGGGGGTCTCAGGGATCCACTCAGGTCATCCGACTTAAAGGCTGGCTTCACCTGTGACATTTCAGACCCGATTCTTCACTTGAAGCCCAGCTTCCTAGAGAGTTCCACCCATATATCCACAGCTGCCTCTGAGGGCAGAGTGATTAGGGCAGGATTTCACAGTTTTACCCTTTTGTCACATGATTAGCCAGCTGCCTCAGCACTGTTTGGGATGGAAATTATTTATATCTGTACATATGTTCTGAGTTCTACCTTAGCCGTGGTGTTTGTTTGGTTCTGGTTTTGATTTTTCGAGACAGGGTTTCTCTAATAGAGCCCTGCATTTCCTGGACTCACTTTACAGACCAGGCTGGCCTCGAACTCACAAATATCCATCTGCGTCTGCCTCCCGAGTGCTGGGATCAATTGTCCATGCATCTATCTTTACGTGGAATGAGACTTAGTTGTTGCAGACTTGTGCAAAAAGATGGTGTCTGGTGCTATACATCTTCAGCTGTGTTCTTTCTCAAGATTGCCGTAGGTACCTTTAGCACTTAACATTTCTAACATAAAATGTTTAGAATCCGTGTATGGATTTTCACACACAGAGAGAGCAGCCTCTGACTGAATTACATAAAATATGCTAATGAATGAGAAATGACATTCCCTCTTTCTAATACTGAATCTCCTGATCCATGAACATGCTATTCTTTGATGTCTCTCGGTAAGATTTTATACCCACCTTTCCTTTCCCTCCCATTCTTCCTCTTTTTCTTTCTTTCTGTACTGGCCAGTTTTGTGGCAACTTGACACAAGCTAGAGTCAGCAGAAAGGAAAGAGCTTCCACTGAGAAAATGACTCCATGAGATCCAGCTTTAAGGCTTCCCTCCCCAAGTTAATGATCAATGGGGTCTGGTCTTGGGTTCTATAAGAAAGCAGGCTGAGCAAGTCAAGGGAACCAAGGAAGCAAGCAGCACCCTACATGGCTTCTGCTTCAGCTCCTGCCTCCAGGTTCCTCCCTGTTTGACTTCCTGTCCTGATTTCCTTCAATAAAGAACAGCGATACGGAAGTGAAAGCCAAATAAACCCTTTTCTTCCCAACTTGCTTTTCGGTCATGCTGTTTCATCACAGCAGTAGAAACCCTAAGACACTCTCTTTTCTTTTTCTTTCTCTTTTCTTGGAGACAGGGTCTCACTATGTAGCCCTGGCTGGCTGTGAACTCTATATAGATCAAGCTGGCCTGGAACTCAGAGATCCACCTGCCACTGCCTCCTGCATGCTGAGATGACCACACCTATCAGTCTTGGATTTGGGAGACAGTTTTCCTATGTAATTTAGACGAGCCTTGAATTTAACAGGTATCTCTGGCTATTCCGGAATTTATGATCCTCCTGCCTCCATCTCCCAAGTTCGGGGGTTACAGACATGTGCCAACACTCCTGGCTTCCGTACAATTTTAACGGTTTTCTATGCCTGAGCATCACACATATTTTTCCTTAGATAAACTCCTAGGGGTTTGACTGTTTTAAATCATACTAAAAACATCATTTTGAGAGGCTGGAGAGACGGCTCAGCGGTTAAGAATGTGTGCTAGTATGCAAGAGTTCAATTCTCAGCACCTGCAATACGTAGCTCACAGCTGCTGGTCACCACAGCTGCAGGGTATCCGGCTTCCTACATATACATAGTAACTTTTACTTTTTAAAATGGTGCTAACATGAAAAAAAATACGCTTAGGGCTGGGGCTGTAGCTCAGAAGTGGAGCACTTACCTAGCATGGCAAAGCCCTGGGTTCAATCCCCAGCACCTGCTAAAGGTGAACGGATACAACCAATTTTAAACAGACCTTGTCAAATCAACAGCTAATCTTGCTAAATTCACATACTGAGTCTAACAGCTTGTCTTTTTATTATATGTGTGTATGTGTCTATGTATTCTGTACAAATGATATTTTATGGTTCTTTTCCCTTTCTTCCTCATCCCTGAAGTGCACAGTCAGCTGAGACTTCCAGGGTGCTGCTGAAGAGACTATGATATCAGTTCCTCAACTTTCCATTTCAGGCTTTCCAGCATCTCATTTAATAGGATATTTGCTGTAGATTTTTCATAGATTTTTTTTAAAGGCAGAAGCTCACACTGTCTAGCTCACACTGGCTAAGGATGAGGACTGAGCTATCCGTGCCTTCTGTACCTCTCAGGTCAACCAAATTGTCTTTGTTCATGCGGTAAGTTAGGGGAGTGAAACTCACTCCTACAGAGGAGCAGCCTGGCAGAGAGGGACTGAGTCCCTGAGGACGGTCTGCAGAGCCAGGCACTTGTTCCTTGGGAGTCAAGAACACATGTGCTGACTGGGATGAGTGAGAACACCCACATCGTGCTCTGTCAAACACTCAGTCATGTCACCAGAGGTGATGGCTTCTCTTTCTGCCCCAGGGACATCCAGTCGGCCAAGAAATCCCAGTAGAACAAATGAGGAGAAAAGCAAAGCCGCAATTCCCCTGGGAGAAGAAAGCCTCAAATGCATGCAACAGTTGGTCTCCAGGAGTGTCCTACCCAAGCAGAGAGGAAGCTGGGCACAGCATACTGGCCAGTTTTCCCAGGTTACTGCGGTCTGATTGATACCTAACAGGCAACTCAAGGAGGAAGGTGGGGGCTCACAGTTTGAGGGCCCACAGTCCATCATGGCTCAGAAGGCATGGTAGCAGGAGTGTTAAGGAGGCTGGTCACCTCATCCACAGTCAAAGCAAAAGAGGCAGGAAGTGGGACTCAGCTAAGAAACTTAAAGCCCTACCACCTCCCACCCCCAGTGATCCATTTCCTTCAGTTAGGCCCCGCTTTGAGGCCATCCCAGAGCTGGAGACCAGGTGTTCCAACCAGGAGTCTATGGGGCACCTTTCACATTCAAAATCCACTTGGCCTGTGAAGGTTGACTACCTGTGTTCAAAAAGCCTGGTCCTGCCCTATCCTAGCTGGGTGCACTCAGGCAAGCATCTTAACCTCTCTGTCTGTGGCAGGCAAATGGTGAAGTGTCCATGGGAAAGGCTTTTGTGAGGCTGGGGGTGATGGCACACACTTTTAATACCAGCATTAGGAGGCAGAGGCAGACAGATCTCCCAGTTCAAGGCCAGCCTGCTCTACACAGAGAAAAACAAAGGGGTGGAGATGGGGGTCTTGTAAAGACTAACAGAGATCTCTGTGAATTCAAGGCCAGCCTGGCATACATAGAGAGAAACAAAAGGTGGGGGAATCTTGGGAGGACTAAAGGAGATAATACAAGCGATATGCCAAAAGCATCTAGGGTTATCGTTTAATTTTGCGTGTGTGTGTGTGTGTGTGTGTGTGTGTGTGTGTGTCAGTGGGGATGCGCAGATGCCTGTGGAGGCCAGAGGAGGATTCCCTGGAGCTGGAGTTACAGGCCAGCATGAGTTGTCTGGTGTGGGTGCTGAAACAGAACTCAGGTCCTCTGCAAGAGCAGTTCTGTGCTCTCACCTGCTGCTCTGCCCTGCCTGAAGGTCAGAAGACACCCATCTGGTATTTGTTTGTTTGTGGACAGGATTTCAGTGTGAAGCCCTGAAAGAGATCCACCTGCCCCTGCCTGGATTAAAGTTATGGCCACCACGCCTGGCAGTATGTTTAGAGTAAGAAATAAGATGGTCACTTCCTCCACACTGCCAGGTTCTATACATACTTTACTGAGGGAAAGTTCTGCTTTAGCAGCTGTAAGGCACTGATAATAGATTTTTTTTTTTTTAAACAGCAGAAAATACAGAACGGAAAAGGCATTGCCCTGCCCCTACTCTGTTGTGACCTTTCTAGGTGACAAAGGCACAGGCCCTACTTAAGGCTAAGTGGGTTAAGTTCACACTTGAGACGGTTAATCTTGACTGTCAGCTTGACCGGCTCCAGACCTCAACCAGGAGGCACCTCTGGGCATGTCTGTCAGGGAATTTTACAGGGGGGTTTGACTGGGGTGGGGAGACCCAACCCCAACATGGGCAGCCCCGTGCCACGGGCTGCGATGCTAGACCGAACGAAAAGGAGACAGTGAGGTGAGCACCGGCATGCATTGCTTCGCTGGCCTGAACGCGGATGCCCCGCGACCAGCCGCCTCAAGCTCCCACCATCCTTGCCCTGCCACGGCGCACTGTCTTCTGAAACTGCGAGCCGGAATAAACCCTTCCTCCCTCGGGTTGCTTCTGTGAGGTGAATACAGTATTTATCCTGGAAGGATATCCACCACCTCAGCAGTAAAATCGCCCACGCACGCCACCCCCCACCTCGGCGGCCTGCGGGAAAGCTGCAAGCAGGTGGGCGCGACCGGAAGCCCGCAGCCAACGGGCTCTACCTTCAATGCTGCGGATGTCCTTGCGCCACAGCTCCAGGTGGGTGGTCATCTCCCGAGCTTTCTCTAGGAACCTCTTCCAGGACTTGCTGCTGTACCGTTTCCACTGGTCCCACTCTGATAAGTACTTCATCTGGGTTTCCTGAATGTCCCTGCATCCATCAATCAATCAATCAATCAATCAATAGGCAGGCCATGAGCATGACAATGACAAGGCAGCATAAAGTCTGAGCTCTCAGTTGTAACTTTGGAATACTATTTGGCCATAAGAAGGGATGCAGCACTAGCATGCTCCACTGTGAATGAACACAAAGTGAAGGAAAAGACAGACAGGGAGGTCACATTCCATGCTCCATACAATGTTTAGAATTAGTAACTCTAGGGACAGCAGGTGAGTGGGACTGGGGTGGGGGGGAGGAGGGAAGAGGAACAGAGATGCTTTTCTAATGGGTACAGAGTTTCCAGCTGTGGTGATAAAGCATTTTTGGAAGTAGCTGGTGGGGATGACTGCACAGCATTGCCATCAGGCTCAATGCCCATGAGTTATAAGCTGTCAATCACAATGGGTACTGTGTGCTCAGTACAATGACCCTATGGTGCCATGCCTGACATCCTGCCCGACTCTGCCAGCTGATCAAATTCCCCTATTTCACCTCCAGGACACCCCTTCTTTTGATATCTTCTTTAATTAACACTGAAAGGGTTAGACTAACTTCGTAACCTGTATGTCTTCTAAAGCCTATAGTTTTGAGTTTTAGGTTCAGGTTAAGCTAAAGCCTCTTAGTACCTTTCCAGTGAATGGAAAAATGTGACCCTATCTATGAGGACAGATAGAAAAAAAGGCAAGCAAGCAATGACCTTCACTCAGCAAAAAGAAAAACTCCTGTCTTTAAGATAGCATTTCTTAGCAACAAACCTAGACTTCTTCTGAGTAGCTTTTGACCTCCAGCCAAAAGTCTGTAGCCCCTAATCTTTAAGGATGAGCTAACCACCCCCACCTTCAATTGCAGCTGCATCCACACTTGGCAGGACTGGCCAAGCTTGAACACCTAAGACTAACCAATTATCTTACTTTATAGCTTCCTCATCCAATCCTAAATTGCCAAGACTGCAACTTCAAATCTCCCGCAATTTTTCTTTTAAAAACCTAAAGGCCTTTGTCTCCGGGTGCCACTCTTTGCTGACCGGCAGGGGTGACCCCATTGCGCAATGGTTAATAAACCTCTTGCTTTTGCAACGAGTCTTGGTCTGGGGGAGTTTCTGGGAAGGGCACGATCTTGAACTCCTGAGCTGTGAGACCCCAGGTCTTACAACACCAGCCTCTCCCAATATGCAACAAATACTCATTTTTTGAGTATTTGTTGGTATTACATCCTACCATGTAACTCTGACGAGCCTTGAACTTGCTTTGTTGACCAGGCTGGCCTTGAACTCACAGAGATTCATTCACCTGCCTCTGCCTCCCAAGTGCTGAGATTAAAAGTGTGTACCACCACACCCAGCCTCATGTCACAAGCTCTTTAAAGGTTAAGAATATGTAATAGTTGTTGCTGTGGTCCTCTGTCCCAGGAACACAGCTGATTTCATGACAATCCTGGCATAGCTGTTTCTACCTTGTTCTCCACTCTGTGTTAAGCACAGTTACTGGTACTGAATCTATTCTTAATAGCCACCACTAATCAAAAAGCAACAGTCATAAAAATAGGCACATCTAATATGTACTGCCCTTATCCTGAATGCATTAGACAGACAATTGGATACAGATATTGATAAATATGTGGATAGGATAGACAGCTAGATAGATAGATACAGATTAATTGATGCATGTATACAAACATAGATATAGAAGGATAGATGACTGATGGATATAGATGGATGGATGGGTACAGATTAGTGGATGAATAGATTACAGACGATGATAGATGGATGGACAGATAGATGGATGGACATGACCATGCATGTCTGTAACCCTAACACTTGTGACGCTGGCACAGGGGAGTTCAAGACTGGCCTAGGCTACACAGAAATATCTTGACTTAAAGAGAGAGGGAGGGAGAAGGAGAAGAGGTGTGGAGTGAAGACTCAATGGGCAAAGTGTGTGATGTGCAAGCCTGAGGACCTGATTAGGACCCCCAGGACCCTCCTGTAACCCCAAAACTGGGGGAAATGGAGTGAGTAGATCTTGGGGACTTGGTGGCCGGCCAGAATAGACAACTGCTGACCTCCAGGTTCAGTGAGAGAGCCTGCCCCGTCCCCACCCCCAAAATAAGGTGGAATGACAGAGGAAACACAGAATGTCAACTTCAGGCCCCTACATGGGTGCATGTATGTACATATCTGTGTGCATGTGTACACACACAGAGAATTGGGGGGGGGGGAGAGGAAGAGAGAGAGAAAGAGTCTGTGAATGGCTACATCATCCCACAGAACTGAACTTGGGACTGTTTATTCAAGCAGGAGGTAATGGCTTCTTGAAGGTCACGTGCCCCAGCAGGAATGAGCATTAGGAATGCTCGCTGCAGAATGAACTCTCCGTTCCACACAGGACAAACACACCACACACACCCCTCTCCCAGCCCCTGACTTGGACACTCCCAGGCGGCCGCTGGACAAACCTGAGTCTCCGCTTCTCCGAGATGTTCAGCGCGTACTTGCGGATGGACTGGCTGTTGAGGTTTTCTGCGATTCCTCCATCTAGCTGGGAACTGTAGGAGTCTGTCGGCTTCAGCAGGGTACTGCTCTGCTTGTCCCGGGAGAGGATGTTTGTCCTTCTGCGCGCCACTGACTGATAGCTTGGCAGCTCTTGAAGGAAGTTCACGGGCGGAGGAGAGAAGCAGCTAGAACCCAGAGACATGTTCTCTGGGTGAGAGAAAAACAAAACCAAAATTCACTCCACACAGCTTGGAGAGGCGTTTGTGTCTTGGAGACTAAGTACAAGCCTTACAGACATTCACTCATCTAGACAGAACAGCTGGATTTACCTTGTCTCTTTTACTTGTGCTGGAAATTGAACCCAGGACACCTTAACATATGCTAGGCAAGTGCTCTACCACTAAGCTACATAGCCAGCCCTTTACTTACTTAGAAGGGTTTTGATTATGTTTCTAAGGCTGGCCTTGAATTTACCTTGGCCTCCTGTGTAGCTGAAATTAAAAACCCGTGCACATGCTAATTACACATCTGTGTCAGTCTGCTCTGTTTACATGTGTATGAGCGCTTTCCGTGATTGCCTAAGCGATCACCTCCTTGTCATTCCTGTCATCTAGCAGCCGGCCGAGTAAGAACCAGCCAGGGTCGGCAAGATGGTTTGGAAGGTAAAGGCACTTGCTGCCGACACTGAGGATGTAGTTCGATTTCTGGGTCCACATGACAGAAGGAGAGAACTACCTCCTTGCAAGCCGTCCTCTGACTTCCAGCATGCCTCACAGCATGTACACACACATTCATGCACATATAAATAAACAAACAAACAAATGTAATTTAAAAGAAATCCAGTCGGCGGAACCCACTGACAAGAGCCAAACCCCTGTCTTTGTCCACAGCCACAGAGAACATCCATGTGGGGTGTGGAAAAGAGAAAAGTAAGAGGCCTCTGTGGCTGGGCTGCAGCCGCTGAGATCTTACAGGCTGACATGACCCACAGATGTGACCAAGACAGGGAGGGGAGGACTCTGGGCTAGAGCAACTGTGTTCTGACCACACTTTAACTGGTCTCCCGGAGCAGGGAGCTGTAACTCATGCTGTGATCCTAACTCTCAGGTGACTAAGACGGAGGATCCTGAATCTGAAACCATCCTGGGCTACACAGTGAGACCCTAAGGACAGGCCTGGGTACCATGGGTGTGGTCACAGCATCAAGGGCGCTCACCAGGTTTCAAGGTCTCAGTGAGATGGCACACATACAGTGCCCCTCCCCCAAGATGTTCCAGGAAGTGTAGGAGGGCTGGGGGAGGACAAAGGGCCATCATTCCAGGTCTCTCCATGCAGATTCCCTCAGTTCTGCCCCTCCCTGACAGGCATGCTCAGATACAAGACTTCAGTGTGTCACTGTGGATGACACAGAGACACGCGCCTGAGCCACTTTCCTGCCGACACACCCTGAGGATGTGAGCCAGTCCAGTGACAAGAGCTGCCTCCAGGAACCAGGAGCAAGGGTGCAGCCTTGAGGCCGCTCCTCCCTCTAGGCAGCAACAAAGAACTGTTATTAACCAGGAACAAAGGTCTTTGAATATGGAGCCTGGTGAATATTCAACAAGTGTAGGGGTCAGGGGCCTGTGCGGGATGGGGACTGACGCCTGGCCTGGCCGGATGCTGCTACTGGAACCCACAGCCAGGCCACTCCAAGAAGACATCTATTCTACTCAAGGGACATCTGACACCACAAAACAGGGGCACCTGCCACGCCTTGAGCTCCAGGGAGTACTCATTCTAGGCTTGGATGTTAGAAGTACAGGAAGCTACCTAGGCCTAGCAGGGGATACACACAGTCAGGAGGCTGAGGCAGGAGGATTGCTGCAAGTATAAGGCCAGCCTGGGTTACACAAGATCCAGACTCAACCGGATTTGGAATCAACTAGGAGACAGTCAAGTTGAGGATGAAGATTCGCTGTCATGGGCTGGCTCAGCAGGTGAAAGAGCTTGTGGTGCAAGCCTGAGGACTTGAGTTCGATCCCCGTAACTCACAGTAGGAGAGACTGAGTCTTCAAGAACGTTCTCTGACCTCCGCAGGCATGGTGGCACATGTGTGCGTGCGTGAGCGTGCGTGTGCGTGCACACATACACTAAATTTTAAAAAAGAAAGCGCTCACCACCACGGGGAGGTAAAGGAGCTTGCCCGGTGCTTCTAAGCACTGGAACTGGGGGCCTAACATACAATCAAATCCCCCAAGTCCTGCCTCCCCTATGAAATAGGCTGTGGATTTGAAATGACCTTGTAAACGCTAAAATTCCACACAGATAAAGTAGATAATGGCTGAATGTTCTTCCAACCATGCTGTGTTCAGGCTCTTCTCTTTACCCACTCCAGGGAAATCTCCCATCTTTAAGTAAAACACACAACAAGTGCCCTCATTCCCAAGCCCTACCTGTTATGTTGTGCAGGCAATTCAACTGGCCCTCCCTCAGGGAGCTTCAGGGTCCTGACAACGTCCTATGTCAGTACCTGTGTCCTATGACATCATCTGGGCCAGGTACATAGTGACCTGTCGGCCACGCCCCCTCCTCTTGCTCTCTTGCTCTTCCCTTCTCTTGCTTTCTCTCTCCTCTCTCTATTGGGGCGTCCCCTCCATCCCTCTCCCTCTCCCTCCATCTCTATCCAATAAACCTCACTGGACTTAAGAATGGTTGTGTGCATGGCATTTTTATCTAAATACTAACACTACCCCCTTGTGCTTTCATACAGGGCTGTGCTGCTTTCAAACCGCCACCTCTGACCTACTTCTCACACTAACCTGCGCAAGTAGACACAGAAGGTTTCGGTGCCCTGGCTTTTCAACGGGGAAACTGAGGCCCAGAGAGACGATGACTTGCCCAAGGCTCGGCATCTAGGCAGTCTCAGTTCTGGCGTCTTCAAAGGCCACTCGCTGCACCTCTCCGAGCCTCGGGCAAGCTCGTCCTTAGAAGGTGTGAACATCAGGTGTTCCTCTGACTTAGTCCTCCCATCAGCATGGCCGCTTAGGTCAGCGTGGGGGCTGCTTAGTCGTCGTTTGCAGGTTTCCAACATCAGGGTGACTGTCTACGAATACCTAGAATCTCTTGGGGTCAGGGCTGCAGCATTTGGGCTGTTACGTAGGCGGAAGGGTAAGGTGATGACAGGTGCCATGGGTCAGAGCTGGGGGAGCTACCATTGTCTCTTTCAGAACTGGGACTGAACCCAGGGCCTCTTGCATGCTGGTCAGATGCCCTCCTGTCGGCCACATTGTAAACCCTTTTTACTCTGTACTGTGACCTGGTCTCACTAAGTTCTCCAGAGTGGCCTTGAACTCAGATCCTCTTCCTTCAGCCTCCTCAGTAGCTGGGATGACAGCCTGCACCATCAGGCTCAGCTCAAGGTTGAGTGAGTCTACAGCAGTGTCTAACCCCTAGAAGGCTCTCCGCTTGAAGAATGAATGAATGACTGAGTGAGTGAGTGAATGAATGAACAAATGGCAGGACAGAAGCAAGGACATGTGGAGGACACCCTTTCGGTCCTGGCAGCTATTTCTACAGGCCACGCAAACCTAACGAAAAATATACTCTCTCCCAGGAGACTGGCCCAGCATGATCTAAACGGCACCAAGGGCCCTGCTGCTCCCACAGCATGCCTGCCAAGAGCAGCTTCGGCCATATATGGTGCTGCGCTCACTTAGGGCTTTGCTTTCTACCCTCAGGTTTGTGGAACTCTGGGTAAGAAGGGACCTTGTGGGTCATGAAGAATCTACCAGTTACTGTGGGGATTACAATAGTGTCCTCTTTTCCCACATGGAACACGGTCCAAAATGCTAATGGATGCCTGAAACAAAGACCATTATGGAACTCTCTCTATGCTACACACACACACACACACACACACACACACACACACAATGTTGCTGGGAATGAACTCAGAGCCTTGAGCATGTTAGGCAAGTACTCTATCACTGAGCTACAATGCCCGCTCTGTCTTTTCCATCAAAACTAAACACTTATCATACACTGTGCGTGGCCATAGCTTTTGCAGTTGCTTTTTATTTGTATGTGGGGGAGCAGGGGTTGCCTTGCACCTGCATGCAGATGTCTGAAGAGGCCAGCAGAGGGGATCAGATTCCCTGGGGCTGGAACTGCAGGCAGGTGGGAGCTGCCTGATGTGGCTGCTGGGAACTGAACTACCCTCTGCAAGGTCAGTGCTTGCTCTTAACCGCTGGAGCCATCGCTCCAGCCCCATCATGGATTTCTTAGAGAGGGGACACATTCTCTCACCCTAGCAAGCTCAGCACACAGAGTTCTTGTCCTTTTTTTCCCTAAGCCAAACTTGCCCTTTTTTTCACACAGGAAGCATTTGGGATTCTCTTTGGCATGCATGGCTTGCGGGTGCCCCTCTTGTGGAGCAACAGGGACTTAAATGAGAAGGCTCCGCTGGGGCCACGGATACCGGTAGGTGTTGTATGCAGCATGAACACACAGGCAATTTGTGCCAAACGAAGCAGAAGCCATGTGATTCCATCGCTCTACTTGAAATGTGTAACTATTCCAGGAACTGCTAATATTTTGGATCGTATTTGACCACAGGTTCCTAAAAACAAACAACCAAACCTCAGATAATGGCGCTGGGGCCATGATTCGCTTGGCAGTGAGCCAGGTTAGGATTCTGGAGAGGATGAAGGTTTGCTCTCTGAGATGAGACTCCTCCCACTTCTCCAACCCCCACAACTCCTAAGTGCCCACTCTATGACGTCCCCATCCTTAATCTAGGCCGTTTAATATGTGTTGTCTCTGTGCTCTCTCAGGAACCCCATCTCTCTCCAGCACCATGAGTCCTCAGGGTCTACACTGGGCTTGGTACAGGGCAGTGTCCGATAAATACCGGATGGATAGATGGATGGATGGATGGATGGATGGATGGATGGATGGATGGATGAATAAACTGGGAGTAGATGAATCCAGTGCTGAGAACACAGTGTTCAATTCTCTACCAGGCTTTTGATCAAAGCCCATAATTAACACCCCAGAAAGTAAGATGCAAAAAAAAAAAAAAAAAAACCAGGGTAAAGGTAAGCATGAAACATTACTCTTTTCTATATGAATAAAAATTTTTACAATTGAAATAAAATTTATTGTTGTTTTTCAGAATGTTTCTCTACGTAGCCCAGGCTAACCTGGAACTCAGTGTGGCCCAGAGTGAG